TTATTAAGAATAATCCTTAATAGTTTTCAAATGTTATTATATCAACAATTTTTCTTAACATACTTAATAAGTTTTTAAATTATGCTTACAATGACATTAATGTGTAGTTTATATCAAACATTTTTACACTACCCCTCATTAATTTCAATACAACTCTATATGTTTGTTTGTTTTTTTAATTTTTCTTCGTTAAAAGCGTGCAAAAAGCTTCAATTTAATATTCCTGCAACTGTTGCTGGTAAAAATCATTTTTGTAAGAAACGTTAAATTATCTATAAGGCTAAAATATCTATAAAAAGGTTAAAATATCTTTTAAGTAAAAATCTAAAAATATCTTTTAGCATATCGTCTGAAAAAGTAAACTTTTAGATAAATATTTTGATCACTGCAGCATACGTAAAGCTCCTTTTACCATAAAGTCCCTTTTTACCGTAATTTTTACAGAAACATTTAATTAATAACAGTAATTCAGTGATTTTAAATAAATATTGCTGTAAAAATTAATTCATATGTGATTTCTTGCACCGTAAAACTTTACAGTAAAAATAGATTTTATGATAAAAAGTATACTAGCACCCTAAGTGGCGGTACTTCTTACTCTAATTTGATCCAGAATTCTTCATAGTGCACATCACATTATGTATTTAAAATGCGCATTATATTAGTTAACTCATTTGAACTAATATATCACAGATAGAAATATTACCAGCCAAAATTATCTGAGGAATTTGATTAATTGTAATTAGAATAACAGTAGATCCGAAATTTTCGACAAATGGACCACACTGAAAAATGCAAGGAGTTTGTGGGGGATGATGATCTTTTAAAGAGGATTATTTTTAATATTAAATAAGAAAATATTTAAGATCTATTATGCTTGGCTAAATTATGTAATGAAGTATTGTTCTTTGTTTGAACAAAAGCTTCTATTCATGCTAGAGTGTGTTTCCTGAAAAAACACTGTACGAGTTCAAAATTACTGAGCGATTGTGTATCTATATTTAATTAATGATTAAAAAACATAACTTCTCAGGGGATATCGTAAAACATGTATTTTGTGCTTAATAAATTGAACTCTGACGAATGTTAAGATAGCAATGCGATAATGTTGAAGTAGATGTAAAGTAGTTAGTTGGTGAAGTTTTAATGGCTAAAAATAAGAATGCGTTTTCGCTGACAGTTTGGAAAAATTGTAACCAAATTTTTTTTCTAAATCATTCTTAAGTTGAGCAGTTTCTGAGAAATGAAATTAAAAAAAGTCTCATTTTTAAATTTTCATTTCTTAAGAACTGCTAAGCCGAATCAGTTTAAATTTTGGAATTTTTCATTTAAAGTTATATACCACAAAAAGAAATTTCCATATCATAAAAATCAAAATTTTTCGACAATTTTCATTATCCATGAAATTATCTTTGAAAAACGGTTTTATAATTGTGTGCAAAGTCATTTGATTCCCTGAAATAGTTCTAGAGATATGGTGTGAAATACGTAAATGTAGAAAGTAACATGAAGAGACCAAACTTTCGACTACTCTCCTGACCAAATCATTGGGAAAATATTTTACAAATTTCAGCTACCCTACCTCCTTCATTATTTCGATAGTCAAATATTCTAATTCATCAAAAAAAGACACATTTATTAAAAAATAAAACATATTTTTGAATCTGATTTCTTAATTTAAAATATCGCCTGAAAAAATTTATTTGCATATCTAATCTCGGGATTGATCTCAGAAAATCCTATGGATCTCAGTTTCGAGATCAAAAAAATCCTATAGTGTCATCAAACAGTAAACCAGGGGTCATCTCTAGCAAGTACAGAGGTAAAATTCGTCATTAGTTATTCAAAATCTTCAACACTGACTCAGTTCCTAAATAGAGAGTTTCTTTAAAGCGGGTGCGGCTTTATTTGACAATCAAAAGAAGTTTAAATTTCTTGACTGGCTTTTTGCATCATTATAACATACGGAAATATGAAAGATAAGAAACAGTTTGTTTACTTGGTGTTCTTATCATCCAGTTCCACAGCAAAGATTATCCCTTTTATCTCTAGAACAGATGGAGCAGAAGGGTGCATTTTTACTTTCGGTAAACACAATGCTTATCTTGTACAAAGAGAAAATAAAAATATTGCAAATTTACATGGCACTCTCACCAAGTTTTTTTAGATAAGAATGAAAGAGTGTGAATCAAAAAGTATAAAAACAGTTATATATTGTCAACAAATGAAAAATAGCCTAAACTTTAATACAATTATCAACTGCTCTTACGTCAAGGGACGCTTAAAGAAAGAGCGAAAAATAAATTGTTTCAACTGTAACAAGTAAATATTTAAAGATTTCAAAATCTTGAATTTTAAGTTTGTCCCATCTATATTGTGTCATTCATATTTTTTATATATTAGGGGGGGGTTAAAGTATCTTAAATATTTTCGCAGTTATGCAGAAAAGATTGCAACTACTATCATTAAGTGCACGAAGAAAAAATTCAGGTAAAATCACTGTACTGTATGATAATGACATTTCTGGTTTCAAAAAAAAATATGGTAATTAAAATCAAAATACGGCATTTAAATCATTCATTTGGTAACTTTTCCGTTCATATGGTAACGATTCAAGGGAAATTGTGGTTTTCAAAATTATAGTTTTTATTACCACACATTTAGAGAAAAATGCGAAACAGAAAAGTAAATTCCACCGAATAAATGGTTTTTATGATAAAATTACAAAATGTTACTACATATAATAAATTTTATCGCACATTCTAAAACCACATTTTATTGTTAATTTAACAAAATCATTACCAAAGAGCTTCGGTAAAAATTACCGAGCTTTTCGGTGTTCTCGCAGAGCAGAAAACACGGTAAATTTTACCATATTCTGGTAGTTTTGACCACACTTTTTTCCTGAATGGAGTATTCAAAATCTTACGACTCTAAATTAATATCTTCTGCCACATAATTTGGTCAAAAACTAGAGAAAATTTGACTAGAAATACTTAAAATTAAAAAAAATATATATTTTGTTAATAGGTTTCTGAAAACGCCTAAAAATTACCAATTATCAATAAATATATCTCTGCAAATTTTAGAATTATAGCTAATTGTGTTTTGAGACCTCAATGAGACCGATATTTGGATTGATTCATTAAGAAGAGATCCATTAAAAAGTTGAATATTTTGAATTTTTATCTTCTTCCGTCTCAATTGTCCAATTCAAAAAAGCAAATAGCAAAAAAAAAGGAATTTGTTTTTAAAAAAAGAGCAAATGATAAACCAGTTTTAGTTTGAAGTTGTCCCGCGCACAATTGTCTATCACTCGCGGATCTCAAAATAAAAATTTAGGAAGAGCGTTTGATTCGGTGTGAAAAGTTTGTACTTTTCTTTCAGATTAATTCCATAAGTTCACATAGAAAGTTTATTTGAAATAAGTTTCTTAAAGTAGAAATAATTTAATAGGGTTATAAACTGAGCTGAATATATTTATGTCTTACTTTATTAATTAAAAAATATATAATTTTAAGGAAAATGCCTATTTTAAAACGTAAGCAAAATTTTTCCTGTTACGAATACAATAAAATAAGTTGAAACGTATTGGAAACGCTTTTTATTTTCGCCGTCTTAAATTTGATATCTTACTTATTTTTTCTTAAAGCACTTTTAAGCATAAAATAACATTCTAAAACGCAATATTTTTTCTTTAAAAGAAAGTAAGAAACAGGATTAGGATTAATGGCCCATGATAAATTAAAACTTCCTTCATATTTAAAGGAAATAAAAATAATCAGTTATTAATTTGGGTTGAGTAATTTAATTTGGTACAGTTTTCAGTCTGTACGTTTTTCAAAGTTAACTTCTCTTGTAGTGTAAATCAATGAAAACCGATTCGCATGCTAAAAAAATATTTTTTTTACGCAAATTACACGAAAGCACATATATTTTTCCAAACTTCATAAACGAGCCCAGGAATAATTTTCTATAATTAAGAGATGTTGATTGCAAAATTGTGTAAGAAAAAAATTTCATAAAATTCTTAAGTATTGCCCGTTAGAACTCTCATTCTGATTGAGCGATGATCTTTCATTTCGTTCATATATTTCGAAAGATAGTCTCAAGTAAAGTAAATAGCTAACATTAGATTAATTGAAAAAATTTTATGAAAATGACTAAAATCATATTAAGTATTCATCTTCTCAGTTCACACTTCTCTGACGATTGAGTCTTCATACCAACAAAGAAACAATGACTTTTAACTCGAAACATTGCAAAGACTATTTTTTCGGAGCGGGTACTTCTTTCAAAATTAAAACCTTTGTGATAGAATAAAAATATTTAACTGCTGGGCGGAAGAAGACCTGATTTTTTTGCTAATATTAAAAACGTGCAAATGTATGAATAAAATCAATTTTAAGATTATATCGTATAAAATTCTAATGAGTTTTTTTAGCGAAAAAAAATATTTCATTATGGTCAAATTAGCAGTTTCGAAATTCTTTACCCATGCTAATCAATCACTGAAAACTAAACTTTTCTGGGTTGCTTATAGGCGAGATAAAAAAGGAAATAAAATTAAAATATGTGAATATTTTTTGAAAAAAAATTCATCTATAATAATTTATTGAACGAAAACATAATATTTTAAATAAAAATGAAAATTTCTAAAGTGCAAATAAATATAGACAATAAGAAACTATACTTTTTAGGATGAAAAATCACTTAATTCTATGTCTAAATTTATTAATTATACGCTTGTCGCATTAACGGGAAAATGAGGTGAAATTTATGTAAATAAAATGAAAAAAAAATTTTTTCCAATTAATTATTTCATATTCAGAATTCTTTAATTGTTTGATAAAATGATTTAAGCAAATAGCCTTTAAATTGCAAATTACGAAAAGTTTTCAAAACCTAATAGTTATAACATCGTATAAAAATCACTTTCCTAAGTTGATGCTATGTTCATTTAATTTTTTTTAACAAATAATTCTGTAATACATGCTTACATTCAATCTTATTTCAAAAGTTTCCATTCTGTTCAATACGAAGAGCTTTAGATACGATTCGTATTTCCCTGTTCAAAGTCTGAAAATTAAAAGTATTAATTTTACATTTCACGAATGTTAAATACAAATAATAAGTACGATAAACTAAGTCTCTTCATTAGCACGAGTTAAATCTTTGAGTTATTTGAATCGCAAAAAGGAAATACTATTCAAAGAAAATTTTCTATCTCGTAAATGAGTGAATATCGTAAGGGACAATTATGCATATTATGTATATTTTGACGTATTAGTACATTTTCAAAATATCTGTGCATTTTTGACATATTTTGTTTCTGTTCTCTCAAAATTGCTTCTGTTCTCTCAAATGTATCCGTTCAGATTGAAACATAGTATCTTGTAATTACATAGTATCAGAACATAGATATTACACATAAACATAGTATCAGTTTAAGATAATAATGTTTCAACTTTGCACCATATTTGAACAAAATTTGAAAGAAATTATAGTTAAACACACTTCATAATTTCTAACAGTGTAAAACCAAATTCCAGAAACAATGAATTCTTAACCCATTTTCGGCCAAAGGTGCGTAAACACATCATTTCAATAAATATTCTTAATAACACTGTAACGCATAATTTTCCCTAATTCTATTTTTCTGCTATTATCAAGGTTTCTGATAATATCTACAAAATTCTAGCAATTCAATCAAGGTAAACACTTTCTGTTGAGAATTTTTTAAACTATTCTAATTTTTTAACATGACATGGTTATTGACAAATTTCACATTTTGGAAATGTATAATTATTCCATTTAAAATTAATCATACGTTGCAAATAAAATAAAATAATTATATTTCATTAAAAAAGCTAGTGCTCAACTAAATGTTTTTTCCATTGATTTGGCCAATGGTGCATATACGCATAATTTTATTTATAAAATAAAATATTATTTTTTACGCAAGAAACTTTTTTTAATGAATGTAATTAAAGTGTATTTCAATGGAAATTATACCACATTTTATAAAATTTTATGCTTGGTCGAAAATGCACTAATTCATTCCACTTTTTTAAAGCATGAATTATCATAGATAAATAACTAATTTTCGTTATATTTAATATTCAATAAAAACTAACAACAGTACAAAAAAATAATACCTTAATCCAGTTAAGCATCACAAAACTGATCGGCGATATTGACTTTACCTGATTGAACAATGCAGTGTCATAATTTAACATAAAAGAAGGTGTTACTCATTCCTAGCTCTCGTTGCCCATTAATTCCAAAGGAAGAAAAAACTTAAGTCGTGTGTCAGAAAATGAGTGTTTTGTTCTCATTAATAGCTAGAATTGGCTTCATTGTACCTGAAAACACTCACAAAGTCGATGTGATAACTTAAAAACAACTTAAGTATTATTTTCGAATCCTGAAATCACGTGCCGACATAAGCGACAGTTGCCATTAATCTAAAAATATACCTAGAGCGAAATTCCAAAGCTTCTGAAAAAGTCAAAATTACGATATCATAGAATTCACCCTCTTTATTTAATTCAACGTTCATTTAATTTTGTTTTAACAAATGGTAATTCCAGAATGTAATTGTAATTCATTAATTTCTTTTCCGTTCGAAAACGAACATTTGTTCATAAGAATTGTATGTCTCTGTTTAAAATCAGAAGAGTGAGGGAACAAATTAACACTTATACTTTTTACGAGAGTAGAATTGACATGCGAAACGTTGAAACAGATGTTAAGTAAGATGAACTTCATCAGCTCGAGCTATTTGAACTTTAATTTTAAAATAATATAAATGGAAAAATTAAATCTTCGGAAAAAGTTATTTTTTCTCGTAAATAATCGAATAACGCTAAAATGAGTCAATTTAAAATATTATGATGTGTTAATACAATTTAAACATTTTACTATATTTTGACAAATTAGTATATTTTTCACACATTAGTAAATTTTGATACATTTATTATATGTTTGACATATTTCTTTTTGTGCTTACAGAATAGAATGAATTATGTTTTCATTCAAGTTTAACCATATTATCTTGTACTAAAGTGTAAGAAGTACGATAATATGTTCCAAATTTGTATCAAACTGGAAAGAAATAAGGGTTTAACTCTCTTCACAACTTTTAAGATTATAAAATCAAATTTAAATAAAAGGAAATTCATTCATATTCAATCCTCCTTTTTAAATGACGAATTAAAAAAAAAATTATTTTGAACATTCTATAATAATAACACCGATCCAAAAAAAATATAACATCTTATCCAACTAGGCATCTGAAAGCTGATAACCGATATTAACATTATGTACCTGTTTGAACAATACAGTTCTGTATTTTAACTTACAACAACGTGCTACTCATTCTAAAGCCCCGTTGCCCAAAGGTACAAGAAACTCAAATCAAACGATCGACTCTCAAATCGCGAGATCGTCGAGTGAGAGAATGGGTGTTTTATGTTCACTAATAGCCAAAATTGACTTCAATGTGGCCGAAACACTCACAAAATCGATGCAACAACTCAAAAGACAACAAGAGTGTTGTTTTCGAATCCCGAAATCGCGTGTCGACAGGCGCTAGAATTGCCATTGTTCCAAGAAGATACGAAGAGCGGATCAAAGCGCCGACAAGGATCACTAACAGAGTACAATGTTGCCTAGATACTACCTCCCCCAATATTACTTCCCCCATTCTCTTATCTATTTGTGATAAGGTGAACACTTATTTAATATTTTCCGGTTACAATCGTGCTTGGAAAAAGAAATCTTAGTGAAACCCATCCAAGCGTTGCTGAAAATTTCTACTAATAATAAAGCACTGCTTCGTAATTGATTTGAGCTTTTTTTTCATCTACATAAAACTCATCGAAAAAATTCATCTTAAATGATAACTTAAATATCTCGGCTTTTCATTTATATTTATCAAAATTGACTTAGCACTGAATTTTTCAAATATTTATGATTATGTTTTTTATTATTTTTTTTACTACTTGTTTGTTTATTCATGTACTTTTTCAAATCTATTTACACAATATTCCCACGTCAAATATTCTATATTCTATATATTCTATATTCTATATATTCTATATTCTATATATTCTATAATTCATAATTCTATTCTAAAGAATAATTCTACTTGTAACTAAGCATTGTACGGGAATGGTACTTAATTTAAGTATATTTTTTTAATCAGGGAAGACTATAAAAAGGACGAATTTGTCATTAAAATTAATTATCATTACAATACCATTGGTTTTTATTTATTTTTATTCCAAATAAACTCACTAGATATTATTTATTTGGCTTATAAAGTATAACTGTTCAAATTTGTAAAGCATTAACCAAATACGCTTATTAAATTTATTTCAGATATAGTTTTTATATTTCTCATTGCAATATTAATAATACCTCCACTTTTTACATCTATTTAAGCAGAATGCATAATTTAACTGGCATAACAAAATAAAATTGTCTCAACTTTTTAAATCATTTACAGATTATGATTTTAAAATCAGTTTTAGATTTATTTTTATTATAATTACATTAATACTTTTCATTTTGATTCAAACAGTTATAAATACGCTAAATACTACTTATTTTCCATAATAAAATTAAACTGCTTCAATTTTGCAAAACTATTATAGATTTCTCTCACTCAATAAAGAATTTTAGCTCAGACTCTTTTTATAATTTTAATGTGCACTTAACAAAAATTAAGCTCCGTAAAATTTTGAAGCAAATATATTGCGATTTCATTCTTACTCTGTACTTTAATTACTGCTATTATATATTCTTAATTTTTAATGTTAGTTATAGATTATTAAAATTGAAATAATTACATTAAAGATGGGTACGATATATAAAGAGAAGTAATGATGGATTAAAAAAGGGATACATATAGCTGAACAAAGAGAGGTACATAAACAGATGTAACATAAAAAATTACCTTCAATTTTAATTTTTCTTTTAAAATTAAATTTTTGTTTAGAAATAAACTTTATTCGTAAACTAACTACAAATAATTGTTTTCAAATTTGTAAATAAAAAACTATAATTACTAGCTTAAGGGAAAGTCAAGATAAACTGTTTACATGTTATGTACCTCTAAAAAATTACGACTTCTAGAAAATAAGAAAATAAAAAAATAATTTTATATTATATATGTACTTATTATGTACAATTAAATAACTATACATTAAAAAATCAAGATCATCTATTAATATGTACAGCTGAAAAGTATGAGCTTGTATCACATCAAAATAATTATGCTTATAAAGAATAAAGCGTTATTGTAAAGAATATGATACATATTTTTTTTACATAGCTATCAAATAATTTAAGTAAAATAATTATAAGCTGTTTACAAGTGTCCGTAAAAGTTTGAGCAATCAAGTTTTTTAAACATTAAACTTTAAATCCGGCAAATAAATATTTTCAAAAACAATAGGAGGCTGTTATATATTACTTTATAGATACTAAAGTATTAAGAAAATCACTAAATTACTGTATGTTTGAGTAACATTTTCTACAATAAATTTATTTTTATTTACAATGTAACTGTTAAAATTTTAAAAAAAGTAACTGCGTAACTTTCTTTAACTTATCCAACTTATTGTATAAGATAACTGTTAATTTGAAGTTCTGAGGAAAAATTTGCGTTCGCCTGATCTGCTTTAGAGTCCCTAATTTACCCCTCGTTCATATGGACGTTTATACAGACACGTTTATATAGACCCATTTTACCCCACTTTTTAGTAATGCGAATCAAATGGACACAATAAATATTGTCATGAACACCCTGTTATTTTTAACTTTCAGCCGATATTTTCAAATACAGATGGTGTTTTAATAACGTAGAGCACACTATAGCTTAATGTCTAAGAAAAAATAGAGATTATGCGGGAAAAACATAAGGGGTGTGAAATCCCTCTGGAATTGACAAGGACAACCGTGGTATTTCCCCCTTTATCCAAAAAGCGAAGGAGGCATAAATGCGATTTATCAAGTTTCCTACTACGTCCTATAATACTTTTGATTATATTAATTAAACGGAAGGAACAAGA